GCACACAGGAAAGTGTAGCTCCGGGGCAGGTGAAGAAGTCAGGACAAGCAGAGCAGCACAGTGGTTGACTGGTTTTCCCTGAGAGAAAGGCTGAGAACTGTTTTACAAGGTCTCCTCAGTGCTAATATCAAGCTACGATCTTTGACGGTTTCATTTTATGTTTCATGTCAATGCAGATGTGAACACAGTCGGAGCTGATGCTTTGTGTTTGTCAGAAGAGTCAAGATACGAGAATGAATAATTTAGTGAGTTTAATAATTTGCTTCATTCGATAGAGACGGTAGAGGGGGACACGGCAGCAGAGAGAGAGAGAGAGAGAGAGGCGATGGTATGCTGTGAAGGGCCTGGGCCGGATTCAAACCCGCGCCGCTGCAGAAAGAACGCGCTCTATCAGGTGAGCTACCAGAGCGCCCATAAAACTCTGTTTAATAGTCTCCAAAACAAACGTTTTACTAGGTAATACTCCCTCAACTGGGATTTCGTCAGTCACATCCCAGTTAAACCAGCAATAACCCATGAGAAAGTCTGGTCTCTATGAAAAAGTGTTACGAGCTCTTCGCTGCTGCTGCACCTTTTCCAGCCTGACCGCTGATTTCCATTAGAAAATTAACACTCGTCTCCTTCTCCCTCAATATAACGAGGGAACATTCTTCTGGTAATAAGCTTTTAAAACTGCTTCATTTGACTGCAGGGATTTTTCTCACAGAAATCCCATCCACTCACATTGTGAACATAGTTGAAACCACAAAATTGAAAGCTAATGTCTGTTGTTCTGACTCATTTGAAGGGCTCTTTCTCTTCAGAGGCTTTCTAGATGGGTGTCCTTAGATACAAGACAAATACCTTAAATGGACTGCTGGTTAGTAAGGGTGGATTTTTTTTTATATACAGTGCAGAGCTTGAGCTTGTAAAATGATGTTCACATATTGATTAAATAGTGATTAAAGCAGCTTTAAAGGAACATTTCAACTTCATCTCTAGCAAGCCAACATGCTAAATCACCCCGGAGCTACAAATCAGCATGCAGGTAGTTTGGTTAGCGTGTGAGTAGCCCCGAGAAGTAGATCACATATATAGGGGGCTACTGTCTTTGTCTACTTTCAGCCGGACTCAGACACAAGTGTACAGACTTGTGTAAATTTGGTGGCGCAGGCCTGGTGGATGGTTGCGCTGGGTAGACGCAATGTTCTGTTTGTATTTTTATATACAGTGAGAACATTTGAAATTGAACATATTTGGGAAGCTTGGCCGATATATGCTGCTTTGCTTTAGCTACATATCACAAATGTACCGTTGTGAAAATGATGGCCAGGTGGAAACATAGCAGAATTTCCCTTTTTACATAAATGAGTCAGTGGCTAAAGTGTGAAAATCCTCCTTTTGAAAAAACTGTAATCACAGCATTACTTACAGTGAGGCGAGGAAGTCAAGTATCACACTTAAAGGTGCTGATCGAGAAGAATAGGTCATAGATCATGATCAATCTGATCAGGGGGAAACAGTGGGGGCTGAAGTGAATACCGGTCTTCATCAAAGGGATTGTTAGTTTTGATCACAGGAAAAACCTGTGAGTCATCTAAAATGCATGTGAAGACAGGAAGTCACTATTTCATAACTGTAGTTGACGGCTCATAACATTTATAATACACTGTCATACACTAACCCTGGTTTCTCTCCGTCTCACAGAAAAACATGAAGTATCTTCAAAACAGCTGTGTGATTACCACATTCCCACAAAGCTTGACTACTTCTATCTTCATCTGCATCTGTTTATTTTAACCACTCACAGAATATACAAAATATTATTTTAACCATGGATCTAGTTTAAACAAATAACAAAGTGTAATTTGCACAGTAACCGCACCTTCAAATTAAAAAATAAAAAAAAAAGTCTGAGCTGATATGAAATGTGGAAATAGAAAGTTTGAAGTTTGGGAAAATGTAAGTTAAGAATATTCTTTAAAAACTGGAGGCGGAGTGTAAAACAGGAGGAGACCCAGGTGAATTTAGTGTTCAGATGGTCCCTAACTTTAGCCCATTAGTTTCCCCATCTACTGTCAAGCCAAGCAATGTGCTGCTCCATTATCAGATCATGAGATTAACCAGTGCAACAAGCTTCTTTTCTCAAAGCTGGTGGAAAATATTATTGAAGATGGACGTCACTGAAAATCTGAATATTGAAGTTTACACTCACAACTTCTGCGGTTTCGGTTCAGCTGACTGTGGACGTGTCTATTTCCCTTTGACTCAGTTTTGACTGTAAGAAGACTGTCAATCATGTGACAGAAAAAACAAGACTGCGCCCTCGCCTAGTATATTTATCGACTGTGTTGGTAAATGCGCGAAATTGAGACCGCAGATGAAAACTGTTGTGGGACTTCTCTAAACAGTTATAGACGACATTGCAACATATTCAGTGTCAGCTGGTTTTTTTTTCTTTATCTGTTTGTGCCTCTCCCTCCATCTGTGCTCACACATATACAGTATGTGAGAAAGCGGTTTGTAATAGTGATCAGTCTGACTCTGTGACGCACGAGCACTAGCCCGGCTGTTCACACCAGAAGGTCTACAAGTGATTCTGCTCCTCTCGTTGTAGTGAAGTTTTCTGTTCAGCTTTTAAAATTTGGCAGCATCCGTTTGTTGTTCCCAGTTTCCATAAATATTTAGCTTTATCAATTTGCTGATGTTAATATTTAGGATCATAAAACTATCTGACGGAGACCACAGGGCTTGATGAGGTTTGTGTTCGTCCCTCAACACACTGGCCAGTCCGGTTAAATCACACGAGGGGAGATTCTTCAAGGCCGAACATACAAAAACAGAAACACACACATGTGCAGCACTCCACATCTGGAACACATCCACCTTGTGTGTGTGTGTGTGTGTGTTAGTTACAAAGCAGGTCGGGCAGAATATTTAGTGGATGAGATGTTTATTTACACGAGCCATAAAACACACATACACACACTTGTATCCTCAGTGCATTCAGTTTCATCTACAGTACTTTATAATCACAAGACGAGTACAAGACGTCCAGGTAGGTAGCATTCTGGTTTGACATCATTACATTTCAGCGCTGTCTGTCTCTCTCTCTCACACACACACACACACACACACATTGTAGGCACATGAACAGACAAGCATATAAGTGGGAACTTCCATATTTTCAAAAAGACGCAACAGGAAAAAGCACCGACACACACACAGAAGCAAAAGTCACACACAACATCCACAGGAAGCAGTATACCCATGGTAAACACTGAACATTTTGATGCTGAGCTCAGAACCAACAACAGATCGAGGACGGCAATAAACCGCTGTTTTTACAACACAATAGCTAAACAATATCTTCAGCACTCTCCCACACCCTCTCTCAGACACACACACACACACACACACACACACACACACACACACCACAAACACTAAGGCTCACAGCCACAAAGTTTACCTGATGCTCACACTGTTTTCACACCCTCTCAAATGACAGACATATGAGAATTGTAGTTTGTTTGTGTTTCTTTTCTCACATTATACACACTGATGCACACCACTCATTCAATTTGAACTGGACCCCTGCTGTTGCGTAACCCGAGTGTTTTTCTTTCTTTTTCGAGAGAGATTTACGACCGGAGATCCTGCAAAAATCTGTAGTAGCTTATTTTCTTGCCAGACGCTGGAGCCCAGTTTGGTTGTGATTCTTTCTATAAGGATGCTGTAATAATTCCCTGTGGTGTTATGCAATTTAACCCGGTGTAACCTAGTACTACCCAGGGGAGAATGATAAACCTTTATCAGTGGGCTTGAATTAGTTAGAAGATGACTGTAATCATCAGGAGGAATTTAAAGGAACATCATCATCATCATCATCATCATCATGTGCCACCAGATCGGTTCCCTGGAAATATGTACGTCGGATAAAAACGTTTCAAAATGTTCCCTTGTAAAACTAATGCAGTTCAAATGGCACTGCAGTTGTAAAGTCAATGGGTAAAAAAAAAAAAAAATCAAGGGTTTACAGGCAACATGACTGAATGAAAAAACCTCCCAAGAGGAAATAAAGCAAGATACAGGAAGAAACATCATTAAGTTGCTCAGAAATCTGTCCAGCAATAAAGCAGTCTACTAACTGAAAACTGATTTTTGGCACAAATTGAAAACAAACAATGACGCTTTTTTTTTTTTTTTTTAAAGAGTAGCAGATGATATACGCTCAGTTGGCATGTGATTAGGGATCACATAGCTAAAACTAATGCAGCCTAATACAACAGAAGTGCAGTAAATCCTCCTGCATGAAGGTTATAATGTTCAGTTTCTGCTCAAAACTGTTTCACAGACGTGTTGATTTAACTTTTTCTTCATTTCGGTGGCTGCAGTTTGTGCTGCTGTTTAATTGTTTTGCACAATACTGACAGGTGTTTCTGTTTTTTTATCCAGCAGACTTATATCAGTGATCTCACACCAAATATTAAAGTTTTACTGCGGGGCTGTTGTATCAGACTGCAGTAGTTTGTTCCTAAAAACTGAGTGTATGTCAAAAACTTAGAGGCTTGATACTTTTACATTTTATGCCCTATAAATAAATCATTTTCAAACTAAAATTGTTAGCTTATTAAATGATTGAGACTTTTGTTTTTAACAGCATTTTCCGAAAACTAGTGGTATTAACTGGCGGCACTGTTTTTATGACGGGGCCTCTAACCGTCTGGTGAAGTGTGTTATTTTGTCATTTAAAAAACAAGTCCCATCATTTGCTTAACTTGCGTGCTATCATTCGTTTAGTAAGTCACAAGCATTACGTGTATAGCAAGATTATATGAGAATATTTACCTGCTGTTACTTAACAATACACGAAGCAGAGGTTTCAAGTCAAAAGGTAACTACAGTCTCATATGAACAACCTTTTTTTTTTTATAGTATATGTATATAATATAGTATATATACTATAGGATAGTAATTTTGTTTTTTATATATAAAAATTATTAATAATATATGCTGCATGTACAGAGAAATGAAATAATGTCACTGCCGTCGCTCTTTCCCGCCCACTCCCTGAGTGAAGTACGGACCGGGGCTTCTTGCCCTTTGACTTTTCCAGCAGGGGTCTGGTATGAATGTGAGGGGGGGGGAGGGGTTACCAAAGCGGACCAGAGGTTAAGGTCAGAGGTTAAGAAGCTCCAAAGGTGATGAGATAATCTTCTCAGGATGATGACCCATGATCACTGAAGTGTTCAGGGGACAAAGGCATGCTTGAAATACAGTATCTATATCTGCATGTCACATGTCTGGTTTATATGTAGATATGCTTCAGACAGAACCTACAGTTTGAATTATTTGTTCTCATAATCTCTGACCTTAAATTTGACAATAAATGTAGCGCCCGACATTTTTTATCTTCTTCCGTGAGCATCATGATCCCATCTGATCTTGTCATTCATACATTTATCTCTGTGTCTGTTCACTCGATGTTATATGGATCCTGTGCTTTGTTCTGTACAGCTACATATTAATGGCAGGTGAAAACGGATCCCGCCCCGAACGTGATGCCTGACTCGGCGTGACTGGTTGAATCAGAGGAGGCGTGTGCGAGCAAGGCTTCATGTCGTCGGTAACTCTTCCTTCCTTTGTCCTGGATCGAAGGCGAATCACTCTCTCTGTACACGGTGATGGAAGACCCCCCCCCCCTCCCCACTGTCACATGTCCTTGCTCAAGACTCTCCATCCAAACAGTTTAGTCTTAGTGCATCGTAGACAAATGCACTTGCAGTTTGTTCTTGTTTTTCCCATCAGCAGCCTTTTTCATGTAACTGATTCTCCGACATAAAATACAAGCAGCAAAGGAGGCAAAACGTTGAGCTTTTATACTTTAAATATATATATATATCTATATATCTATATAGATATGTAGAGAAGTCAGTAGGCAATGAAATGCTAGAAGTGGATGGAAACGCCTAGTAAATGGCAGCAAGTGGCCACCATTTGATAAAACTGGTTGGACGTGGTTATCAGTTAGAAAGGGCTGTTATCTCAAGGCAACACCCACAAATGAACCACCCACAGGGAAGAGATGTTGCAGCCCCGTGAAACTTCTCCACTTTATGTGATCACAGAGGAAAACACACTAACAAATCACGTGTCCAATAAATATAAATATCAAATTATAATGTCATGTCATGTCAGGCTATGGTCATAGAGTTTCCACCAGACTGAAAATGGTCAGTGTTGTCCTGTGAGGGCTGAGGCAGCGTGATGTTCGCGGTATTCTCTTTAACCCCTGGAGATTCCTAGGGAGGCCCGGCAGACAGAGTCCCAGCAAAAGTGCAGCACGCTGGGGGAGAGGAGGATGAAGACCCAGGGGTCAATGATGGAGTTGACGGAGATGAAGCGGAGGGCGATCAGGTCCAAGGGGTGAGACTCCTTAGGATTACCAGTGTTGATGTACACCCGGATCTGAGAGATGGATAGAGAGAGGAAAGAAGAGGGAAGGGATTGAGACGAGAGATTGTGTGTTAAATGACCTGCCAAGGTATAAGCCTACTGCTAACACCATTGTCTCACATCCTAGCGAACATCCTGGTTATAAATCCCTCACTAAACCCTCTGCAGCAGCAACAGATGAAGAGCGAGATAAGGAGGGTACAAAATGTACGACTGCTCTCCTCCGAGTGGGTACGCTGGAAGCTGAAGATGGACACCAGGTCAGCTGTTTGTGTTCAGGTTCACATTCCTGTTCACACACCATCTAAGCTTCAATTCAGCCATGATCTCCCTGTTTATCCTTGACACACACACACACACACACACACACACACACACAAACTTAACTTTAGGGTGGCCTACACTGAAGAATTTGTGAAGCTCGGATCTAAAACGACTTTCATGAGCAAAAAGTAAAGTAGAATCAAGCAGAAAAAAACATTTGTGTCTTTCTGTTCTGCTTAAGTAGAATCAAGCAGAAAAAAACATTGATTTATTGATTATGATCAGCTTGTCACCACAACTGGCGTTTGTCTTGTCTCTATGGGAACGTATCTGTAAGTATCTCTAAACCAGAAGATTGTTAATGTCAGAGGTCATGTGGTTCCATCTCCAAAGTGCTGCGAGTGTGTGTGTGTGTGTGTGTGTGCGCGTTCTCTGTGTGTTTGCGCAAACTAACTTTAGCGTGATGAATGTTGTTTGGTCAAAAGTCACAACGTTACAACAAAAAGCATGGCCGCCAATTTTATCCTCTTACATGCAGAAAACAATCAAGCATCCCAAGGCACACAGGATGTTTGCAGAGGCCGGAGTATTGGTCTAATTGAAAGAGGATATTGAACTGCTCTCAGCATCGTTTTGTTTGCTTTCCAGACAAGCTGCTGAGGCAAACACGGGCGGCCTATAAATGACTGTGAATGTGAATGTGTGTGTGCTCTGTGGTTTTAGGAGAGGCTGATAGGCAGATGTTGAACTCTGAGGCCAAACCAAATTGAGATTCCCATGCTGATTGCCAGCTGAGTTGTTGACATACAAAGATAATAAAACCTTTGTTGTGAAATAAGGATCCATTAATATTCCATCTTAGTGCTGTTATTAATCACTATCTGCACAGTACATTCAAGCTCTAATACGCAGCACTTTTTTACATAATTTGACATTTGTTTTGATGTGAATTTAAGAGGGATGAAAAAATAAAAACCCTCTCATCTCATCTCTATTATAACTCAGTCACTTACACTAATACTTTGGTTTAAAATAGTTTTGGTCCCTAAATCTGCAGCTGTTTACTGTTTGCATGAGAGAAAGTTAACTCCTTTTCATCTTTATCATCCATAAGTTTTTCATTTAAAGGTGGCTCAACCACAGCTACGATGGCATTTGCTGCTACCTCGCTAAGCTAGGCTAGTTACCTTTTAAGCAGGTATAGTTCAGCTGTTTTTCCTCAGCAGTGACTTATTTAGCTGCTGCCTCGTTTATGTGCGATGACTAATTAATTAGTTGAGACTGTCATTAGCCAGCTGTAACTCGATAAAGCTCGGTTACTGTGTTTTGATGTTGTTGGGAAGATCAATAATGAGTAGAGCAGAATGAAATGAAATCAACATTAATGAACATGGCAGCTCACTGTCCTACAGACGAACGTGTGTGTGGCGACTGTTCTTTGGCTTCTCTCATTGATAACTCCTGTATCGCAAAGTCTTTGACCTTTTTAAATGGAGTCAGCTCTTGATTACAGCTGTTTTTATTTCCTACCACTGAGGCCAAGAGTGAGCAGCAGACTTTGCTGATTAGTTCTTCCTCTGTGGTTAAAGTGCAGTGACTGGCTGGAATGAGAAGCAGTAAAACCCCTGGGCCGATGACCACAAGGTTGGGAATACTAATAATACAATCCATGGAAGCTGTGACTAGTTCACAGGTTTAGAAATTCCTGCTGCTGTTCTCTCTGGGGATCGGAGAGGAACAATATCAGGTTTTATGTGAAAGGAAAAACGACCTTGCAGCTGTTTATAAAGTCATATTAACTTCTTTCATTTATTCACTTATCTGGTATTTTACATTCTCTTCCACTTTTTATCTTCATCTCTGCCTCCCGCCCATTCTTGTTCTCTGTCTGTCCTCTGAATTTCACATACAATTTCTGTTTCTCTTGTATTATGAAGCATTTCGTCCGAACTCGCTCAGGTTCATTGACTCCTGTAAAAAGCACCCAGTTTCCTGGGATGGCGACAGTTTGCGACAACACTGTCTCGCCGACCTCGTTACGCCAATTTCCTGTTGCTCGGTCACACAAACCAGTCGCTGAATCGTTGCCACAAAGACTAATTGGTCGTTCTTTAACTCCCTCTCCACTGAGCCAACTCCGCGGCTGCAAATGGCAGTTCAGTCTTGCTTAGTAAGAGCTTATCGGCAGCTGTTAGTCTGATGCCTGAGAACGCTGGTAAATTCTCCCTTACGTAACACAAAGAAAAACAAACTCCCTAACGAACGATGAATGAGGTGTGATGTGTAGAACAGCGCCATAACAACCACGGCGTCATTTTAAACTTAAACCACATGAAGTCATTACTTTAATCACTGACAGGCCTCGCCATGTGTGTGAGACAAAAACCGAGCACACTGTGAACCCAGCACCAACAGGAAGCGTTATTAAAGTGTTAATGTGAAGTGTCTGTGAGGGCCCGAGGCCCCGAGAGACGCACGTTTACAACACGAACAATTTCTAGAGCGTTTGCATTACGTTATTGTATTTTCCTGGGTTCACATCCGGCCTCACCTTCATTACCAGTCTCCACCTCCTCATCAGTGTCTTTACCTTTCTGTGCACGAAAAGGTTACAGTCTGACCTTTTCCATTTTTAATGCAATCAGAGATAACTGCAGGTATATCACACCCAAACGCATCGTTGGCCCACAGTTTCATATTGGCAGTAAAATGTAATATCACAGTGTGTGTTTGGGTGTGTGTATGTGTGAAATCCTGCCCTCACACTGTGGTATCACATTGCAAGTTGGACGCCCATGATTTTTTTCTATAATGTTTTAAATAAGTGATGTAATTGTTGTGCTGTTGGTAACAACTTGAATGTGTAGCCGTGAGAGGCCTGTGACCACAAAGCAAATATCAAACACCTTCACAGTTTTAATTTAAGCTCCACCTTCTTGGTGCGTCTGTCAAATTATGTTCTCACACTGCATGTGTGCAGTTCACAGCAGCACCGGCAGCAGCTTTATCACTTCAAATTCACAGTAATCTTTGAAACTATTTGTCTTTCATTTCAGACAAAGACAAACATTTTTGCCGGGGCCTGAGAACGCTGTTTAACTCTACAGTTAAATGACTCTCTGTGACTGTTTACTCACATCTCAGAACTCATTATAGATCGACTGTCGGCGTAACACTGCAAATGTCTAACGTCTTCCATCAGCAGGGTCGACATCCTTAGACCGTAGAGACGGGAATAAGACGTTCTACTTGAGGCTGGATGTTCCTTTAAGGAGAAGACTTGGCTGAAATGAATGTTATGGTGACTTCTGTGCGCTGCGGTGAAGCATCTGGTGACGGCTACAAGCAGAGCACGACAGACACGAAGACGCACATTAATGCTGAGTTCTTGTGATTATAATCATAAGTTTCCCGCTACAAGTAGTGTTCACATCCAAGTCGTAACCATGACGTTGATTCTTCTGAAAGCTCAGATACGTCTTAATTGGCACTTAATAATACGTAAACAAGTGCCTGAAAACCAAACAAACATGGACGCCTCTCTAACAACCAGATGGACGTAGTAACGGCTAACACCATCAGCATCCAAACTGGAGTCTGCTTGAATTGAATTAAACTATTTTTAATGTCCACCCACACAGTGATAGCTCCAGTCATATCCTCTCCTCCTCTCACTCTGTCCTGTTGAAACCTCACTGCACCCAAGTCATCTATTTCATTCAGCCTCCTGATGAAGCAGTGAGGAAGGCTGATCCCTGTGTCCTTCAGTGGTCTGCACCTGGTGCACAGTGCACAGTGCAGGCCAGTGTAATAAACCATCACATTTAAATACACAAATAACTTTCGCTTTTCAAGTTTGCTCCGCGCTGTTCTCAGTTTTAACACCCTGTGGTTGTGTTGGATATTGTCCACTTGAACGTTCGGGCAGCAGCTGGCAAACTGGATCATTTTCCTCGACTCAATAAAAAGTGGTGGCAGTAAAAGTTTAAGTGGTTTTAGGTGAAAATTTGCGAGCATGATTTTATTTAATTATTTCTTATTTAATTAATTAAACCCCCTGATTCTGCGACACTGGATCCAGCAACTATTAAGTTTTAAATTGTTCACGATGTTGCTTTAAATTGACTTTTAATAGAGTTGAAACGGTTAAAATACTCGTGCGTGAGTCTTTTCGAAGTGTCAAGAACCTGCCTTCTCTCTGACCGAGCTCATGTTGCCTCTCTAAAAGCCTGAGGACACACATCTTATAAAACAGTTTCTGTCTTCTATCACATTCCTCTATTAAATTAACTCTGATGCAGGATCATTGCAGAGATGAAGGTCGTGACTCTGCATTTCAAGCCACGACTGAGATGCAGCCACAAACCAAATGGGCCATTACGGATGTCTGCAATAAAGTGCACGGCATCATACACTGCTGGGAGAGTTATCGATTTCCCATTTCAAGTCCAAAGTGGCACTTTCAGAACCGAGGTGGTTGCAAACAGATCGCCCACAAGTCTCACTGAGACAGCATAATGGATCATCACTAGACAATGAGTCATTTGTACTTTTCGTCACAGATAATGTTTTTTGTTTTTGTTTTTTTTTTTTCTTTAGATAAAATGTAGAATTACAGTTTAAGAGTCAGATAATCTTCCCATTACCGTCTCTGTCCCAACAGCTTCCTGCTTTATATCATCAGCTCATTTATAATTATACAGTAAACCAGAAGTCTGCTGATGGAAATGTGGAGATTTCCCTTTTAGATATTAGTTGTGTTCGATGGTGTTTTTCACTCGACTCCAAAGTGATTATCGTGATCAGACTCTATATTTGAACAAACACAGGATGTTATGACATTAATAATAATTTGCTGAAGAAATGTAAAATTGTGATTTATATTTTCCTTTTTAAAATCACAAAAACAACAAAAATGACACACAGTCATGAAATCTATATTTAAACATGTAGTTTATACCTGCGGCATCAAGAGAAGCAGCTGAGTCAGACGGGCTGTGAATGGCACTCGCACTGTTTCCTGTCTACAACTTGGCACTAGAACAGCCCATAGTCTATTGTATTATTTTTGAATAGCTGCTTTTGTCATAAATGCCACGAGTGTGGAGAGAGTTATATACGGATACATGTCAGTGTTGTGTTGCGTGATTTACGTGTTTACATGTTTCTGTCTTTGGATCAGATTCCACACAAAAAACATGCGTGTTCTTTATTATCATTTAAATGCATTTATTCATGATGATGCCTAATATATAATATCAATGTAATATTGAAATATTCAGAAATAATAAGTTGATTATTTGATTAGTTATTTTTTGCTTTTTTCTTGACATATTACTGAATGATTATTGATTCATCAAGAAAATAATCGGCACATTAATGAAAACAATCATTAGCTGCAGCTCTAATCGATACTGTACTGTCATTTGTGGAATTGTAATGTTGCTTAAATCTGGTCTCTTCCTGCATCAAAGGCTGCATTAAGGTTACGAGATGCTATTTTAGCAAAAGCACCAATTACTTTCCCTGAAACACCTTCACTGTAACTAATGACGTATTGATTTTGTGAGTAACGCTGCGTCTTAGCACCTCGCTGCTGAGAACAGCAAACAAGGTTAATTGTTTTTTTACAGATTCCAGCTACTGAAAAAAAGGATGAGAATGGAGACAAAATGATAATTCAGTTTATATTCAAGTAGGAAGTTTAAATACAAAGTGCAAAAGTAGCTGATTTTGTGTCTCATTTACATTTTTAAACCTAATTTTCAGGCGTGTTTTATGTTGAAATTAAACACAGATGTTCCCAGTTGTGAGGTTTGTGGGAAGAAATGCGGCCGACTGGTCAATGAAGAAATGAGGTGAACTTAAAGTGCATTGGTGTTGTTTATAAAACACCTGCTCACTCTCTGCATGATGGACCTTCAATCAATTTCTGCTGTGACTATCGACCAGCTGACCCATAAAGCTAATTAACCCCCAGACACGTCAGTTAACTGCAGCCACTCAGTTCTTCTGGGGGCAGACGCATGCATGTGTGTGTGTGTGTGTGTGTGTGCTGTCTTACCGCTAAGGGCAGCGTGCAGATGATGAAGATGATGGTCATGAAGACCAGCAGGATGAGATGCTCCACCTCCTCGGCCATGGACATGGCTCTGCTGTCATTGTTGGATCTCGACATCGAGATCACTGAGCCGCCGTTCCTCCTCCGGCGCTGGTACATCTTGAACAGCTGGTACACCACAAAACCGTTGCAAGCCACAATGGCCAGCACCAGCACCAGCATGATAGTGGCGTACAGGTTGGCGTAGACCCGGTCGTCTCTTTCCTTTGGGTTCATGTCAATGAAGCACCACGTGCCGGGGCAGTACTGTACATATTTACCAAATCCCGCAAAAGGGAGCAGACAGAAGGACATGCATAACACGAACACCAACGGGATTGTGAAGTAGGCACATTTCTTGGTGACGTGCTGGCTGTACAGGTATGGGTATCCAATGGCAACGCATCTCTCTAACGCCATTGAGAAGAGGAGCGACAGCGTGGCCAGACTGAAGAAGGTCATGCTGACACCAAAGTACGAACACACGCTTTTATCTTCAGGCGACATCCCCACCATGCTAGTGTTGCGAGAGTACGCCACCTGCACCAGCGGGCTGATCAGGCAGGTCCCCATCAGGTCCGTGACCACCAGCGACGTGATGAGGATGTGAAACAGCTTGCGCCGCCACGCGCCCTCGGTCCTCGCTTCTCTGCGTCGCCGGATCTCCAGGATCACCAGCGCAGCGACGTTGCCGAAGATGCCCGCGGCGAACATGCTGGCGCTGATCAGCGGGGTGTCGGTGGAGTTGATGTGGAGCTTGCTGTGGCACGGGTCGTCTTCTGAACTCGTCATGGCTGAAGGCGGCCCGGATTTTTGGAAAAGTTTCCTCAAGTAGTTTTCTGCAGCCGTCCTGTTTTAACTGAAAGGAAGAAAAGAAGAATCGGTCAATTAACTCATCAGTCGATCTGCAGGAAATTAAATTAATCTGATCATTAACTACAATTAGTCACGTCATTTCTCAAGAAGGAAAAGCCAAACATTTGCTGATTCCACCTTCCTAAATGTGAGGACTTGATGCTCTTCTTCGTCATGTAAAATGTAAAGTGAATATCTTTGGAATAAAACAGTCTGAATACACCCTGAGACAAAATAATGGTTTGATTAATTGAGAAAACGATGCCAAAATCCCGAGCAAGACTCAGATTTGTTGGGACATGTCTAATGCTTCCTTGCTGCTCAAATTATACCAAAAGTCTAACCGCTTATTTTCATTTTTTATTTCACATGTAGTGAAATGAATGAAAAGCGAGAAGGAAAAGAAAAGGGAGGAGCAGTGATGGCCAACAGATGGCCCTGAAACTTCCACAATTACTACGTGCACTAATTCCCCCTTCATGTTGTGGGCAAGATTTACTGTAACCAAAACCCCCAAAACAAACCCAAAAGAAGTGGCTTAACACAACACAAGAAGAAAGCAGCATTTTGAAAAGTACACTCAGAGGCAGCAGCGTTTGATTGATCGCGACTCCTTGGCCAAAGGAGATGCCGCATCATTTGTGAAGGATGTTTACCAGCGTCCCTCTCTTCCACACTCTGTTTTGACTCAATGTCAACAACGCTGACCATGTGTTTGCATGTCTTTGTCCAACTTTTCCAATCCCAGAGGACATTCTCTGCTTCTCTTGCTAAACAGAACATTTCTGCAGAAACTTGAACGCTTGAACTCTGTGCCAGTTTAAAAGTTTTGAGTCGTGAAAACCCGAAGTTGTTCCTCTTCTGCCTCAGCACTTCACAGATATCAGCTGACAGGCAGAAGGTTCAAAGGTCAAAGCTGTCCGTCTATCAATCTATCTATTGGAAATGTGCAATCCCTCTTGAGCACCGTGAATGTTTTCTTACAACTAAGTGCAGGCTCATCTGTTCCACTTGTGTGACTTTGTGTGGTTGCATGTGCCTTCACTTTCCGTGTGTGTGTGTGTGTGTGTGTCTGTGTGTGTGTGTGTCTGTGTGTGTGTGTAACTGACTCACCTACTTGCCGTGTCCAATGCACGACGTGTCCACTCTGGTGAAGCCAGGGCTCCGAATGTCCCTGGATCACTACACTAACACGAGGGAGAGAGCTCTGACAGATGTGCCCAGGTGTTGGATGTGTGGGACCTGGATGTGTTTCGCAGATGTTGTTTTGCAGATTTTAGCGGTTTAAAGTGAGACATGTGAGGAAAGTAGATTTATTGACATGCTCTTCTTTGCGTTTGGAGACATACGGAGCCAGATTACGTTTAAAAAAAAAAAAAAAAAAGTAAGTGAAGTCCATGTAGACACAAGTTACATTTAGGTTAAATGTCTATTTATACGTAGTGTTCTCTGTGTTCGGTGTAAACAGGACAGAAGAAGTTGTTAAAGTTGGAGTTTAAATAGAAAAACAAACAAACAAACGCTGCTGGATGAATTAAATTGGTGGCGAGTCAAAGATCAGCCTTAGAAAAGTACTTCACTTCAGCTCCGACAGTTTCACTGTCTCCCATTGAGGAAGGAAATTTTACACCGGTGAATTATTTCTAAACGTAGAATTACAAAACAGCGCGAGGCAGCAGCAACTGACACATCCGCGTTGACTTCACAGAGGTGAAAGGCATCCAGATCAATTAGGCTCTCACCTATTGTTTTTAACTTGCTCCCCCGACGTCCGGACGCTTATTCCCGCGCTTTAAAATCCATGTTGAGTCGCACGGGAGACAAACGTTTTCGCGCCCCCCCCTCGTTTTAAGCCTTTTGTTTCTCACACTTAACGAAGCCGCTCCGCTCTGTAAAGGTGGGGTGTGGACAGGGCGAGGCGCGCGGCGCTGTGAAGAGGTAAGCATGAATGGACCCGGGGTACAGGGAATGATGCGGTGACGTCACGGTGCACGGGTACACCCACCCCCTTGCGTGACTGCAGGCTGGAGCTGATTAGTTAGCTACAAGCTGAAAACCTGTCATCAAACACAGGGCTGTGCGTTATGTATTGATCATTTGTGCCATTTTAGGACATATTTCTTTTATCTTCCAATATTTGATAACACCAAAGAAAAAAACAAGTGCTCACTATTACATCATTTGTCTTAGAAAGAGGGATATAAATAAGTTTTTGTAATTATAAATTGTCACAAATCAATAGGAACCAGAGTTTTTAAAATCATATGAAACGGCACTAAAGCAGTAAATTCTCACACTGGATGAAGCTAAATTTTGATTATTTTTTGCTTATTATTGCTTAAACAATCAACTAACGCGTGAATTATGCAGCACACAGAGCAAGTTGACATAAAATCATAAAATAAAATTCTGCAATGCCTTTTCAGTCCCTGAAGCAATATATATATATATATATATATATATATATATATAGTATATATATATATATATATATATATACGACCGTGTGGAGACGTTCTGACCTGTGTGAGTCTCCAGAAATAACAACAGGAAAAAAGAAAAATGTAGAATCTGCCTTCTCTATATGCTGTGTGGTATTTTGGGAATAGTATGCAACCCTCTTATGTCTATGCATGCGAGCACGTGTGTGGCCTGCTTTCATCCGCCATGTATGTGACACCGTAGCCTTCAAAGTGTGTGTTTGGTTTCCTGCATGTGTGGAGATTGCATGTTGTTCTCCTGGGTTTCCTCCCAAAGTCGCATCCATTTCAGGCTCTTGATTTCCCATCGGGATGAATGTAAGTGTCTGTTTACCTCATAAACCAGCAACAAAGCCAGCATGTCTCCCTGTCCTCTAACCTGTCTCCGTTCCCTTTTGATCTTTAAAAGGTGGACGATGAATCGGGAAATTATTAGTAAATGGCCAGTATAAGAAATTTACAATTCCTTGTTTTGCTTTTTAGGGTTATTTTTTGAAGTGGAAATAAATGATTCTGTGCAGCGATGGTCACGTCGGTGTTCCATATTATCCTCTCTGCACAAAATCACTCTGCAGCATCTGCTCATCTTTAGGGAAAAAGCTTTCAAAAACAACATAATGCATTGAAATATTATCCTAATTCAACTCTCGCACCCGTTTTGAGAGCAGAATAAACGCCAAACTGGATCCTAAAACGGGTCCTGATGTCAGCTGAAAGCCCTGAAATGATGATGACACATGAGTGCTTTTTATTCAGGCCCATTAACCAATTCTTAATTGTGACATATTGCCATCGTGCCATTGCTTCTTCCTCTCTCTCTCTCTCCGTCTCTGCCATTTATTCTACACCAGTGTCTCTCTCTGCACTGTCACCTTAAACATTTATTTATTTAGCGATGCACAGGGTTAAATTTTACGACCTGACTCATCCAGTTGTGACGGTTATTTTTAGTTTTGACAGCACTCATGAGATGCAGGAATCTCATGCACTCCTACCTCTTTTGGCCTTTTGTCTGTCCTTCTCTTTCTCTGTTTTTGTAGCTCAATCTTTCCATTCATTTCTCTCTCCTTTCCCTTTCCTTTCCTTTCCTTTCCTTTCCCTTTCCCTTTCCTTTCCTTTCCCTTTCCTTTCCTTTCTAAAATCTTTAGGTTTTTGAAGCTTATTGATTCACCCTCGAGTTGATCTTGATCTATAGGACGATAAAAACTTTTAAGGGTGGATATCTCAAGTGGTGATCCTCACTGTCTGTCTGAGCTCTTTATTTAGAAACAATTCAATTATTGATCAAGGTCTTAATCCACAAATCCTGTGGTCTGCTCTGCTGGTAAACAGCTTTTGTTGAGGGCTCTGCATCAGTTAAAGTGCTGACAAGCGCTGTATGTATTGTTAGTCTGTCACTCACACACACACACACACACACACACACACACACACACACACCCCGTCCCACTGCAAGGCTGCATTTCTCACATAACTCCTTCATGTCAACAAAATACATTGGTGTGTGTGTGTGTGTGTGCACGAGCTCCAGCCTGCTAATGGACCCTGTCTGAATCATTGATGAGTTCATTGATTATGGTGAATATCTGATGTCACAAATGAAGCTGGTCAGTCAGCAGTCTGTAATTACGCTCTGAAATAGTGAAATCCGCGAGCGGAAGAGAAAACATGATCAGATCGATCACACACTTTAAATTACAGTGTGAAATGTGTATTTATGTTTATATGCCATGGTTTGTTGAGCGCACGATGATCCAGACGTAAACGTGTGTTGAGGTTACAGGAGGGCATGTGATACTGATTATGATCATTTAATTAATATTAGAGAGCAGATTTAAAAATATCTCTTTACATGTACAAAATAAAACTGAAACCATCGTCTTTACAAACTAAATCAATCAAATAAAATGTTCTTTGCAGCCGCGCTGTGTGGATATTATCTCAGCCTTGACTTTGCTGCCACCTATAGGTTGTTCCAGGTAAGTACAGACGTTTACTGTGGTTGAACTGGACCGACTGATGAACAGTGGCAACATTAGCGCTTTATGTGTTATTTATTTAATTCAACGTGGTTTGCATTTGCTTTTTAGAAAATACATTTAGCCGTAATGACAAAAAAAGAAAGGAAAATAAATGTTGTAATGTTTGTTTAAATTTCTGATGAATTAAACACCGTTATTTCTCATTTCCACAGGTGTTCAGACTCTTTGCTGTGGCTCTCTAAACCAAAAAGGTTCGGCGTTCAGCTCGACAACGACCTGATGCTGCTGGGCCGCAGGATGTCTCCACCAATGATCCAAAACCCGGATCCCTGAACCCCAGACGACATCTGCAGAGAGACCTGAAGGTGTCCAGTGTGACTGAACATTCACAAAAAAGTCAGAAGTATTCCTTTGTGTAGTTTCGATGGATGTTGTCGTTGCACAGTTCATAAGAGTGATGTGATTCAATGCTCTGCCAGGCCTGTGCTGCGCCATCTGGGCTTTTTGTGAAGTTAAACACATGTTCATCTGGGCTGAGGTCAGGTGACTGACGTTGGCAGTTAAAAATATTCCACTTTGGTTATCCTGTCCTGTGTGGTTGGGAACACTGCCCTGCCGTCCTGTCCTAAAACCGAAAAGGATGTGAACACCCTAAACCGCCCAGAAATCTGAGTCAGTACTTCGTTTAAAAAAAGTGTCTGCAGCCAACAATTTCTTTTGCTTGTCTTCTCAGTGGTGAAACTCCTCTGTGCAGGACCACTGACTAATCTGGGACTTCCCTCCCTCTCTCTCTCCCTCCCTCCCTCTCTCTCCTTCTGCAGTCAGTGTCTCGTGTCCTCTGGGAGACTCTGCCTCGTCACTTGTCTCTCTCTCTCTCCCTCTGTTTGAACAGTGGATGAGTTTTAACGCCGCGTGCTCTCTGCAGGTCTGCGTGCACACTGTGCAAACGTATTTTTCCATATTTTAAATGTACAGTTGTTCTTTCTGTCTATTCTGTGAACACGGCATCAGCTGTGTGTCTGTCTGTGCTGGACGAGGGATTCCTCCTCTCTTGCTCTTCCTGTAGGTTTCTTCCTGTTTTTGTTTTTCTTCATCACTGCTGGTCCATGCACAGAGGGCGTTGTATGCTGCACAGATTGTGAAGCCCTTTTGAAGCAACTTTATTTGTGATTTTTGGGCTAAATAAATAAAATTGACTTGACTTGTTCTATTTTGTCAGTCTGAAATTAAAAGATATTCATTTTACAATATTTATCATCGTCCAAAATCGAAAAAACAGCAAATCTTCACATTTAAGAAATGTAATGATTTGTGTTTTTGCTTGAAAAATAACTGAAATTATTTATTTAATTTGTAGTGCAATTCAGAGATGACTGACAGGCCGATAATAAAACAGTGTAAATGTAACAGGAAAGGAATTTGAGACTTACAGACATAAATAAATAAAAGATGATGGAAATGTGATGGTAAAATAATAAAATAGATTTAAAAAAAATCAATTTAATAAAAACGTAACTTTAAAAAATGACAAACATAATCAATAAGAGAGAATGTCATATTTAAAAACGAATACAATAAAATATTTAGCTGTAGATGAAATTTTTTCAAGTCTCATCCAATATACTGGAGGCCAGTGTCCATGCTGCAGTAACCTGAAGCGGACACTAGGTGGCACACAACGGTAAGTATGTTAAAGTTGCATTCAACAGCGGTCAATGAGAATAAAATGAAATAAAGAATAACTATGTAATGTACTGATGACTGACAGAGGTGTGTTCACAACACTTACACAAAACACAAAATAATAAGAGCTAATAATAAAAATATCTTTACTGCAAATATTTATCTTAAAATATCTTCAATCCGGACTCT